CTAATTCATACATTTTTCTCAGCTCAGCTGCTTTAGATTGTTGGGAAAAATTAGCACAATTATACATAATTTTAATTATTAAATTAATATCAACATCACATAAACAAACACAAAATAACAATAAACTTAAAATAGAATAAAATAGATATTATATATTAGAAAGAGCTAGCCTGCGAGTCCGAGAGTCATGTCCTAAAACAGCTGAGCCTCTCCGCGTGAGGGTACTGACGGACATCAGCGACTCCAAGATCAAATTCAAACACTCGCAGTAACACCTCCTCAATTGTCACACCCACTGGAAGGAAGGGGTGAACCTGACTCGAATCGAAGTTGTCCAAAAAATAAACTAATAGATGATAATTGAAAAAGTAAGCAAAATATAAAAGAATTGAAATAAGCAATTGGAAGATCTCTAGAGTGTTTTTTTCGTTGCAAGCCAAAAGTCATCTCAAAGTCACTTATATACCCATTAGGTTAGTAACTTACACACAAAGCCTTTAAAACTATTTTTAATGTCTTTAATTTTTATTCTTTAATATACACAATAAATTAGATATTATTACTAGAGGTATAATTTAGTCAGGTCAATTCATATATAATTTAAAATAAATCAAAAGAATCGAGTATTAAGCAAGAGCTTCAATATTTGAGTTAGACTTTAGCAGAAATAATTTTAACTTGATTTAATACTTGGAGTTATAATATCAATCTTAAATTGCATAATCACAAAATTAAACTCAATTTCAATCTAACTTATAAAATCTGAGTTTCAAAATTATCAAGTTCAAGTTGAGTTCATATTCGTAGTTTGAACTGAGTTAGCCCATACCTCGGAACCAACCTGGATCACGGACCGACTCGGATTGCAGACTACAAACTTGGACTTGGACCCCTAACCCGCTCGAACCCCAGATTCGACCTCAAACCCTGCTTGGTGGTGGCGACAAGTGATGATAGTTGGAACGAGAAATACCACTAAATATTCAGGAGTAATAAATCCTACACTGATGGGATTATATATTCCATGGTATGGGAATTAATTTTTATTATTATATATCAAACATTAGAATGAGTATTATTAAGAAAAATTAAGATTTTAAGCTTAATTTTGTGATATAGATTTTGATTAACAAGATATGCTTAATTTACATGTGCTTAGATGAATTTATACAGTAACAAGTCTAAGAGATTGTGAGAATGATATAGTTCTCGATTTTTTAAAATGTAAACATAAGGTGCTTAAATCAATATACTTTTTATATTTGTAATCCAACTTTATGATAAATTTATGACCTTTCTTCAGATGCACTATCTCACCAACTTTATAATTCAATTATTTGCAACAGTTCAATTAAATATTAAAGGTACAATCTTTTGGAGTGGGTACATTATTACTAGAGGCATAATTTCATCAGGTCAATTCATATATACTTTAAAATCAAACCAAATATGAACGGGCGCCATAGGCACTTTGACGATGAAAGAGGCGAAAGAAGTAATCCATAAAAAGATTTGGCACCGCTCACTAAATTTTGTGGTTTATAATATTTATAAATCAGTGATTCTTGTTTGGAGAAGAATCAACAGAACAACTAATAAAATAAAAAGTGATCAAAGCAAAATATAATTATATAAAGGAAAAACGGATATGTTGCCTTGATCTTTTTTTGTCTTGAACCCTATACCCCTATAATAATGGTACACTAAGGAGTGACCCCAAAGTGTAATTGACCCGTGGTGGTTGGTCGAAGCTCCAAAAAGAATCGAGTATTTGAGCAAGATCTTCAATATTTGAGTTAGACTCCAGCAAAAATAATTTCAATCTGATTTAATACTTAGAGTTGGAATATCAAGTTCTTGCACTCAATCCCAAATTAGGAAAGAAAATAAATATTTTCAATCTCAAATTATGTAATTACAAAATTAAACCTTATTAAACTCAATTTCAATCCAATGTATGAAATTTGAGTTTCAAAATTATCAAGTCCAAGTTGAGTTCATATTCAAATTAGGCACGATATAAATTTGTCATAGCTTGAACAGAGTTAACCCAGCTAACCCGCTAATAGGATCTATTTTTTGATACAAGAAATAGATATGAAAATATGTCATTCTACATATTCGTCAGAGGATATCGCCCTTCAACGCCATGTACCTATTTGTAAGATATTTCACTATATCTACGCTGCAACCAAAATTAAGGTCTCTCCTCATGCTCTAGACATGGTGGGACCGATCGAACTACCATAGCTTCAAAAACTCGAACTAAAATATTATGGGAGAAATTTTGAATCTTTGTCCACTGAATTAACCACTTAGCGGTAACCAATCAACAAATGAAATGAAATGAATGTACTTGGCAATTAATTAACTAAAAAATCTTAGTGAGGGTAGCGTGGGATTGACGCTGATACAGAAGAGAGAATATTGATAGGGCCCACATCAAATGCTATAGTTTGAAGTTACCCAAAAAATCCAAAATTTTAACAATATTGCTCCACAGCTCACATGTCAACTAACCCAAAATATCTCTAACTAGGTTTAATCCGTATTTAAAAATACAATACAACATAAGTAAGAAATGGTCGATTTAAGAGAAAGAGAATTTAATATGATTGATTTTGAGAGAGATGTTGATGACCGTTGGATGAGTTTATTTGACACCGTTAGATGAACTTATTAAAATTTATTCTGTTTTATAATATAGATTAAACCACTTGAATCCAGTCTAGTGCTTGAAATTACAATTGATTGAAGTTAGTTAAGATCGATCATAAACTACTTAAATCAATTATAACCTCTCTTTTTTAAATTATATTTTTTGTGTGATTTATAATTTTCATGATTGATTACAATATTCTGAAATCGATTATACATTTTGTAATTATAATTTATACATATACACACATATCTATAAGATATAGTTGGTACAAGTCTTGGTAATGATATAATTTTTTAGACAATGGTAATGATATTTTTGTAAATTTTTAATATTAATGACAATTTTTTTTTTTAAATATTGACAGTTGGACCAAATTATTTTGTATAAATTTATAAGGAGAATCTCACCTTGTGCCCCAAAAAATTTAAATTTTTTCACTTGATACCCTTAAGAGATGAAATTTCTTGATGCTCAATGTATTAAAAATACCCTTTTGTTTTATTTTGTTAAAACTCACCCCCCATTGAAGTTGACGAAATAAGTAAAGGGTTTTAATGGAAGCATCACATTATAATATTTTTAATATATCGAGGGTATAATGTGAAAATTTTAATGTATTATAATATTCAGGGTATAAAATATAATTCAGCCAAATTTAAAGGGTAGAAATAGAAGCTACAGTGGGTGGATCCCACATTTTAATGTTCTTGTTTAGTTATACAAAAATTCTCCAATAAATAGTCCATCTCTACCTACCGCCCATTATCCTAAATTAATTACGTCACTTTGGATAAAAAAAAATTCCACTAGCCGACTTTAGCGAAGCCGACACACGTCTGAGCTAACGCTCTTATATTATTTTATTTTATTTTTTATTGAGGATGTCAAGTTGAGTCTACACGCATTTCATTTAATCTATTTTCAAAACAATTTATTTACTTCGGGATTAGAAATTTCTGGTTTAATAAAATTATTAAATTTTAAACTCAAAACGTCTAAATTTATAATTTATTTCTATCTTCAACATGAGTAAATATTGTGTATAATAATTACACTATGTCAGCATTGCCATACAATGTAACCGTCTAATAATAAATAAATAAGTAAACCCTACATTTTTTTTGGTTCGACAGTTAGGGAGTGTCCAAGTTAATTTACGCACATCTCGATTAATTCTTTTTTTGAACTGGTTAAAAACAAGTAATCCACGATGATGCATAAATTGGTATTGCGCAAGATCAACAGTCAAATATATATAAGGGTGTAGTTAATGAATAATAAATAAGCAATCAATGACAAAACAATAAATATTAAGGCATCACAAAATTTTATAGTTGTTCGGTCTAGGTAATCTACTCCATTCTCGAAAATAACAGCGGTGGCCAGAGATCTTTATTGATGAATAAAAGTCATCGAAAAAATATACCTGGAGAGAATTACAATGTTTTGAGAGAGGAAGAGACTTAATGTGTAGAGAGGTGTGTGAGATGTAGAGGTCTCAAGGTGATGAGATATCAAGGTTGTGTCATCTATGTGGAGATAACTTACATTATATAGGTTTGGTAAGGTAGTCACTACTTTTTAGTAAGTACAATTATGGTAGGATTAAATCTTCGTAATGCGTATCCTGATATTCTTTCTCTCGTGCTCCTATTCCTTCGGAGGAGGATCCTGGGTTGGACTGAGTCGAAGTAGCAAAGTGAAGAAGGATTCCAATGATGTTGAGGAAGACTGTGGAAGAGACAGCAGAGAATGAATAAGAGCCGGGAGGCCAACCCATGGGCGGCGCCCCTTATGAGACCCCCTTGGGTGGATCCTTTGGGCACTGGTGACTTGGGCTCCTTTTAAGTTGACAATTTGGACCTCTCTTGATTTATTGGGTATGACCCAGTTAATTTCGGACTCATCAATCCACGTCAGAACTAAAAAATTTATTATTCGTAATTTAATTTTAAGAGATTATCAAGATTCAAACTAAAAAAATCTAAACTTACAACTCCTTTATATTATTACTTAAATTATCACTTGAGGATGAATTCCACATTTTAAATTTCAAATATAGGGGGATTACTATCTTTTGTAGGGTCCATTTTGTCTATCGGCACACCTCACTAGGTTAGCTTGGGTTGAGACTTTTTCAATTGACGCGGCGTCACGCCTTTACTTTATTCCCCACTCACACGCTACGATCATCTACGAAGTGTACACGATAGAAACACTCCTCTCCACAGCGACACCTAATAAAAGGCGCTATTTGCCGAGCACACGTTATCGGCGGAGCCTCTCTCTTTCTCTCTTAATTTGATCGTGGTCTCTACTGCAAACGAAGAACTTGAAAATGGTGAGTCCTCAATTAATTTATAGTTTCCATTTTTCTCTAGTTTTGATCTTTCATAGGCTCGTGATTTTGCTGCTAATTTGTTGTTTTTATGTTTGCTTGTTTAATCTGTGACTGATCTAATCACAGGAGCTGATTTTGGATAAATTGAGGTGGTTTATGTGATTTTATCTATATGATTAGCTTTTTATTTGTTGGGATGTGAGCTTCAGATCTGATTTACTGCTGAGTGAATAATAAGTCTCTGATCAGATCATAGGGATTGGTAGTTTGTGAATAGAAATGTGATGGATCTAATGTTTTTTATATTTGTTCCACCTGTTTTATAGATTTAACAGTTCACAATTGTTTCGTTTGGACCTAATGTCTATGGCACCTTTTTTCTTGCCATGTTGTTTGGTTGCTGAAGGAGGAGGAAAATCTGATCTGGAAAAGTTTTCCAAATATCTTTTGTAATTCTGTTTTATAAAATTAGAGGATTTGATCCAGATATGCCATGTAAACTGTGAAGTTTCATCAAGTGGAGATTATTGATAACTCTCTAATACCAAATGTTGCTTCGATCTTACAACATTTATATAATAATTTTTTTTCTTTTCTCCAATTGTGTAATTTAAAATTAAATTGAGCAGAGAGATGAATGTGTGGATTAGTAGGGTTATCTGTCATTTTGGGGATGTATTGATTGAGTTGTCTTGCATTGGGGGTCGTGCATAGAATATTATGTTCTTGAGCCAAAAAAAAAAAAAAATTGGGATAAATTTTGTGCCATTAAATCGAAATAGATGAAAATTGGATTTGTTGTGCATTTATAAGTTGAGAATTCAACTTCTTATTTGTAATATTAGATAAAGGCCAATTTGAAACAATGTTCTAGGTATGGGCGAGATATATGTTGATCTGTTAATGGTATCAAACTTTTGCCTCGATTGTTGGCCATTGGTTGGGCGGTGCCATTTGCGTTCATTCTTCCTCTCTGAATGTGTTTGCAGCAGATATATTTTTTAGACGGTCTGTGTGGACCCAGTAAGTGCAAAAAGCACAATCTTTCTGTGTACATTATCACCTTTTTGCTGAGAAGAAAAGAGAATTTGTATGAAAGTTAAATCTATCACTTGATTTTAACATGTGTTGCTTTGATGTGTTTTATTGTTGATCAATGATGAGAGATTGGATAGTGTTCTTTGTTGTCTAGCTATTTAGCTATGTTTATTTTGTCGTGGATGACTTACTGGTACTTCTGTTTTCATTTGGTCCATGTTATTTCAGATACAATTGTTTTTGGTATGTTTTTCATGTCGGAAATGGATCATATGTAGGAATTAAGATATTCATATGGTAATAGCTGTATGATTTTCATGATCTTCATCAATTTTACAGGCCAATGCAGCATCTGGAATGGCTGTGCACGATGACTGCAAGTTAAGATTTTTGGAACTGAAGGCCAAAAGAACTCACAGGTTTATAATCTATAAGATTGAGGAGAAGCAGAAGCAAGTTGTTGTGGAATTTGTGGGTGAGCCAACCCAGAGCTATGAGGACTTTACAGCAAGCCTTCCTGCTGACGAGTGTCGCTATGCTGTCTATGATTTTGACTTCGTGACTGCAGAGAATTGCCAGAAAAGCAGGATTTTCTTCATTGCGTGGTATGTTTAGATTTTTTTTTTCATTTAAAGCAAATCATATAATGTCAATCATCATTTGCTCGTACCTTTGTTTTTTGCTGTTTAAGGTCGCCTGACACATCTAGAGTCAGAAGCAAGATGATTTATGCAAGCTCAAAAGACAGATTCAAGAGGGAACTTGATGGAATTCAGGTGGAGTTGCAAGCAACCGATCCAACTGAGATGGGTCTTGATGTTATTCAAAGCCGTGCCAGCTGAGTACGAGTTACAGATGCCTTTCATTGGCATTTTCATGCAATCCATGTCTATAGTTTGTTGGATGGTGAACTTGGCTAGAGATGATATGTCTAACCAAGTGCTACCATACGGTGTTATATTTATTTGAATTGACATTATGGTGTTCCGGTATATCAGTATATGATGTGATCTTTTGTTTCTAGAACCTATGCATTGCGTGCCTTGTAGTCTGATGTCTACAAGCTAATATGTAACAGTTTGTGGGGGTTATAGACAATACCTTTAGCTTGTTTCAAATTCAAAATGAATATTTGGCCCCAGTTATCTTCCTTCAAGGTGGTAACAATGGCATGGTTTTTTGCCCTTTCAATTGCTGATCCATTGATTTCTTTTGTGTGGAAGTGGATAAACAACTGAGAAAAGGCACATTTGTTGTTGCCATTATGATTGTGTCATGGTTATCCGAGTCTGAGAGGTACTTGTGATTTTCAGAAAATTAATTGAAGCAGTATGATTGCTTTTTGATAGTTTGATGCTCTCCATTTAAGCATTATTTGCATATGGATGCTTGAGTGCAATGTTAGTAAGAACTGCCTAAACTAAGCTTTACTTGCTTTGTGATTCGGTATTCTAACGGGCGTATGCATAGTCTGGAGAGGGTTAAATGTATGCAACTTTACTTTTACAAGCAGAGAAATTGTTTCTGTATTTTGAATCCGTGACCTCCAGATCACAATGGAATAACCTTACCGTTCGGTATTTTATTGGAAACAATATGACCACTTGCCGGTTTCCTTTGGCTTCTCTTCCTTGATTTGCATTGTCAGTAGATCGCTTCTGCTTTTTTTTTTTTTAACCTATATCCCTAATTTGTTTGGTATAGTGGTAAAAACTCTACAGACTTCGCAGAGGCGAGGGAAAACAATGTGATGGTAAAGTGTTGCTCACCCAAGTACAATCTTTTTGAACTAATCTTCAAAACGAGTCAAAATAACTTGACAGCCAACTCCATTTCGGATCAAGAGCGACTTTAAGTATTCACGTGCTTAAACGATACATCACACGATAGAGCATGAGAATTATATTTGCACTATTTATTCCAAGGGGAAGACTGCTCGAGCCGTTTTCCTAAATTCTCTAGTTTAGCATACTTTTCAAAGACTGTTCAAACCGTAGGCCAGCAAGCACATAGCGGTATCTGTTAGTTTTTAAGCTTAAAACCAAATAACAAACTCGTCGTTTAAGGGTGTTGTTCAATCAAAATTCAAATCATAATTAAATTTAGAATAATGTTATTTGGATCTAAGAATTTGATTTAACTTGCTGACATAATGATGTGGTTTCATAAGATTCATTGGATCAACAGTAAGTGATGATGCACAAAAATGATTTTGCACACCACCTGTCAAGTATAGATAATAAATGTAATGAAATCAACGAAAAAATTAAAGAAGACACAATTTATAGTGGTTCGGTCAATTCGACCTACGTCCACTCTTCAATGGCTTCAGTCGCCGGGTATTTTATTGATTCAAAGGTATGGAGAATGGAGATACAAGCTTTGAGAGGGGGAATGGAGAATCAAAGAAAATAATAATCTCCGGTAGTCGGTTCGTCTTCTGTAAGTCTCTGATGGAGCATGTGTCTCTCCTCTCCCAGATTAGAACCATTTTATAGTAGCTAAGAGATCATTCTTGTGGAGATCATGACATATCCTCAAGGCTTCTTTATCGCAGCTTAGAGATTATCTTTGGTGGAGATCGCGACTTATCCTCCACGGAAGGAAGAGGTTGGGGAGCTCTTCATGAAATGTGGTCAATTATTGGACCGTTTTCTTCCTTCGGTGGTGTAGATAAACTTCCCGTGCTCTCCTCTTGGTGACGTGCTAAGCAAGAAGTCTAGCCGGCCTTGGGCTCCTTAAGGAGGTGCAGATAAACTTCCCGTGCTCTTCTCTTGGTGACGTGCTAAGCAAGAAGTCTAACCGGCCTTGGGCTCCTTAAGGCGGTGCAGATAAACTTCCCGTGCTCTCCTCTTGGTGACGTGCTAAGCAAGAAGTCTAACCGGCCTTGGACCGTCTTGGTCTTGGTGGTCTCTTGGTGACGTGCTAAGCAAGAGGTCTAACCGGTCTTGGATTGTCTTGGGCTTGGTAGAATCACAATGAGGTTGGGCTCCTCAAATGGGGTTGGACTTTAACACATAAATTGGACTATTTGGGCTTAACCCATCATTTGCCCCCCAATGCCCCATGTCCAAGGAGACTTGGAGAAGGAGGCATTGATTACATTTTTTTTTTTTTTTAAACTTCAAATCTTTCCCATTTTATTTTGAAGAGGGAGTGGTGGAGGTTGAAGAAAGGGAGACGGCTAGGAGCGCGATTGGGCAGCGCAGGCTGCGCAGGCGCGCTGGGCAGCGCAGGAGCGCTGGGCTGGGCAGCTCAGGCTGCGCAGGCGCGCTGGGCAGCGCAGGCGCGCTGGGCAGCGCAGGCTGCGCAGGAGTGCTGGGCTGGGCTGCGCAGGCGCGCTGGGCAGCGCAGGCTGCGCAGGAGCGCTGGGCTGGGCAGCGCAGGCGCGCTGGGCAGCGCAGGCTGCTCAGGAGCGCTGGGCTGGGCAGCGCAGGCTGCGCAGCGCAGGCACAGCTGGGCAGCGCGCGCGCTGGGGCTTAGGCGCTGGGGGCCTGGGCGGCTGCCTAGGCTCTGCTCCTCGCATCCTGGTTGGAACGCTGGGCAGCAGTATTTTTTCATCAAGGGGCGCTGAAAATCAGTCCAAGGTTCGTCAGGGAGAGCTAGGCAGTGGCCTGGGAGCATGGGCTGATCCGATTCCCACTCGAGGTGCTAATTTGGGCGTCTTAGGTGTTGATTTTTACGTCGAAAATTCTGCTTTGCGCAATTTTGAAGGGCCAGACAGCCTTCAAGCTACTGGGCAACTTTGTTTTGACGAGCAACAGCAGTCAGGCACACTTCTAGGCATTGGGCTAGACATTGCAAGTAGTAAGGAACCTTTGGGTGCTGCTCTTGATGATCAAGCCCTTCTCCAGGTGCTGGGGCGCCTTGGGTGAGCCTGGGGCTGCCTCGGGAGAACCTACTTGTGATGACAAAAATAATGTTATTCCAAACATTAAAATATCTCACATAATTACCTGGAGAGAGAGAGAAGTAGGCTGCTTGCGCGAGAGCAAAGACAGAGTTGGAGAACTGCTCGTGAGAGAGCTACACTTTTTGAGACCTAGCTTTTGGTGACCCATGAGGGAGTCTTTAAGCTTGTGGTATAAGCTTCCTGTTTGAGAACAGTGCAGAGGCCAAGCTTTTTTGGTGACCCGTGAGAGAGCCGCTAAGTTGGAGATAGGCTGCCTGTTTGAGAACAGTGCAGAGGCCAAGTTTTTTGGCGATCCGTGAGAGAACCGCTAAACTGGAGATAGGCTGCCTGTTTGAGAACAGCGCAGAGGCCAAGTTTTTTGGCGACCCGTGAGAGAGTCGCTAAACTGGAGATAGGCTGCCTGTTTGAGAACAGTGCAGAGGCCAAGTTTTTTGGCGATCCGTGAGAGAACCGCTAAACTGGAGATAGGCTGCCTGTTTGAGAACAGCGCAGAGGCCAAGTTTTTTTTTTTTTTTTTTGGCGACCCATGAGAGAGTCGTTAAGCTGGAGATGGGCTGCCTGTTTGAGAACAGTGCAGAGGCAGGTCAAGTTTCTGGTGATCTGTGAGATGATTCACCTTGCCTAAACTTGTTGATTTCCTCAGCATTCATATATCTTTGAGCTTTTGTGAATAGTTCTGGCATGCTCTTCGGTGGGCGCTTCAGAACTGAGAAAAGGAAACTTGATGAATAGAGGCCACCCAAGAAGGCGGTCATCGTCACCTTGTCGTCGGGTTCATCAACTTGGAGTACCTCCTCGTTAAAATGAGTGAGGTAACTCCTCAGGCTCTCCTCGCGGTCCTGCTTTATACTAAGCAGGTGCGTAACTGGCTTCTGGTGGCGACGCCCTCCTATGAAGTGTGAGACGAATGATCTGCTAAGCTCAGCAAAAGAGGTAATAGAGGCGGGGGAGAGCTTAGCAAACCACTGTCGGGCAGACCCTTTTAATGTGGTTGGGAATGCCCTGCACATGATTTCGTCTGGTACGTTGTGCAATTGCATCAAGGTCTTGTAAGTGTCGAGGTGGTCCAGTGGATCCTTTGTTCCATCAAAGGTCTCCACAGATGGCATTTTGAACTTCTGAGGGAGGGGGTAGTTTGCCACATCAGGTTTGAAAGGGGTATCAGTACGCCTTACCAGGTGGTCAACAGTCTCGGGTCCTTGTGCCTTCATGGCGTTGAAGACATCACCGAGTTGATTCTGTACCTCCTTTATCTTCTCGTCCCAATTATTGGGGGCTCCTCTGGAATGATCATGGAAGTGGCTTCCATGTCCCATGCTTTGGTTTTCACCCTCATCCTCCTGGAGATAAGGGTCCTCTTCCTGGAAAGCAAGGGGAGGGGGAGGTGCAACTCCCTCATGTTGGGCTTCCTGAAGTGGGGTGCCCAATGGGGCACCCGGGCGTGGAGCAACAGGGCGTGGTGCTCCTTGATGTCCAGGATGTGGAGCTCCTTGGGGTGCTCTATGTTGTGCACCTCTGTGGGGCCCTCCATGTTGTGCACCTCCATGTGGTGCTCCACCTTGTCCAGCAAGTATAAATTGCAGTAACTGTTGGTTTTGAGCAACCAGTTGCTGCATGGTCTCCAATATTTGTTGGGGATTCGGGGCTAGAGTATCCGGAACAGGGTTGATAGACGGGGGAGCAACCTCCTCCTCTCGTGGAGGGTTGTCTTCGTGTTGGTTCATGGATCGAGTAGTGATCGCCATTAGTTAATGGACGTAATGTTCAGGAGTGAGAATTTTGTTGATTCTCACAGACGGCGCCAAACTGATGATGCACAAAAATGATTTTGCACACCACCTGTCAAGTATAGATAATAAATGTAATGAAATCAACGAAAAAATTAAAGAAGACACAATTTATAGTGGTTCGGTCAATTCGACCTACGTCCACTCTTCAATGGCTTCAGTCGCCGGGTATTTTATTGATTCAAAGGTATGGAGAATGGAGATACAAGCTTTGAGAGGGGGAATGGAGAATCAAAGAAAATAATAATCTCCGGTAGTCGGTTCGTCTTCTGTAAGTCTCTGATGGAGCATGTGTCTCTCCTCTCCCAGATTAGAACCATTTTATAGTAGCTAAGAGATCATTCTTGTGGAGATCATGACATATCCTCAAGGCTTCTTTATCGCAGCTTAGAGATTATCTTTGGTGGAGATCGCGACTTATCCTCCACGGAAGGAAGAGGTTGGGGAGCTCTTCATGAAATGTGGTCAATTATTGGACCGTTTTCTTCCTTCGGTGGTGTAGATAAACTTCCCGTGCTCTCCTCTTGGTGACGTGCTAAGCAAGAAGTCTAGCCGGCCTTGGGCTCCTTAAGGAGGTGCAGATAAACTTCCCGTGCTCTTCTCTTGGTGACGTGCTAAGCAAGAAGTCTAACCGGCCTTGGACCGTCTTGGTCTTGGTGGTCTCTTGGTGACGTGCTAAGCAAGAGGTCTAACCGGTCTTGGATTGTCTTGGGCTTGGTAGAATCACAATGAGGTTGGGCTCCTCAAATGGGGTTGGACTTTAACACATAAATTGGACTATTTGGGCTTAACCCATCAGTAAGTTCTAATATTTAATGGAGTTTACAATTAATCTAAAAGTCACAATGAATTGTGTCACCAAATGGTGTTAGTAAATTAAATTCCAATAATATTGCTCTTTAATCTATGTTTTCAAAATAACAGTTGAAGTTTTATAAATATTTTCAATAAAATCCTATGAGTAATGTATGGAATACTACTAAATTCATTTTATTAAAACTTTATGAGCTAAAGTTAAAATAACAAGGGTCACTTGAGGTCTCTAAGATGGTTATATTTTCAAAGCATTGAAGGATCATGAAAGTCTTCATAATGTGGGTTGTGGCTTGAACTTATTCTTTCTTGTAGTTGTGGATCTTTATCTTTGTAGTTTCATGACCATTGATATATTTGATATTTACATTGTAATTTCATAAAATGAGTCAATTACAACAAATAATTTTCTAACAAATTCAAATTTTATTGATAAAATGATTGAATTTTTCTTTTAAATTTACAATTGGAAGGATCTGAATCCCTAATGTCTATAATAATATTTTTCTCTTTATCTCTTTAAAGTCAATGTTAAAATTTATTGAGTTCATGTCGTGTCGTGCTAAAAAATTATTTAATTCATACCCGATTCAAAGTCTAATCAAGTTTGAGTTTTGTCTTTGTTGCATAGAAGTTATGCTAAGTGGACTTGTATAGATTCAGGTATTTAATTAGTATAACAAATTCATCAATCTATAATCCAAGTGGAACATTAAAATTCTCACATTATATCCTTAAATGAGAAAAAAAAAACAGTAATGTAGTTCAAATTTAAATGTTTGTTACATTTTTTGATATTTTTATTAATTGCATTTATCATATTATCTTATTTATATACACAATTACTTGTGTGATACTTAATTTTAAGTGTCTTTAATAGATACTAGTCATGCATCACATGTGTTGCATGTAAAAAATTATATATATAAAATATTAGTAACAAAGTTTTAGGTATATGTGTACCTAAATTAAATATCATATAAAGTTTATACAAATTATGTTTTTATTGCTTGTATTATTCTATACAATTCAAAAAATTTTGTATGTTCCCAAGGATTCGTTATTTTAACTATAAGTAAAAATAATAATAATAATAATAATAATAATAATAATAATAATAATAATAATAATAATAATAATTTATTTTAGAATTCATTTGATTAGGTTTTAATTTATAATTTATTGAATAAAATAATAATAATTATTAATATTCTAATCGATGCTTATTTTTAAAGGATAACATAGTCAATTAAAAAATTCATAGATATTGATACTTATACATAGAAAATAGAGAATTAAAAGAAACATTAGAGGTAATTTGAAAATTTAAACACATAAAGATATGATGGTAATTTAGATACTTAACTATAAAAGGATATTGTGATATATAAAATTATTTATAAGTATAAAATATAAAATTATTTATAAGGGTAAAATAGTGAATCAATTTTTTTTCATGTTAACATACTTTCATTAGTAGTATATATATAGATATAGATTTAGTACATAATTTTATAAAAATAGAACACATTAGGGTATAATGTAAATTTTGAACTCTTTAGAATCTAAATTAATAATAGGGTTAATTACAATTGTCCCGTCCAACTATAACTCTTATTGCAATAAGCTTCTCATGGCTTCAAATTCTACAATTTTGCCCCCTTCAAGTTTTCAAGCGGACTAAATTAACCGACAACAGTGGTTGGAACATGAAAGTATTATTACACCTTTCATCTTTTACATTATTTTTAATATTTTTTTTGAGATACCAATTCTATCCCTAAACAATAAGAAAACGGAAAAAAGCCAAAAAAAAATACATGTGGTCGCCCAACACCAACATACTACACAACGACATGTTCACTTCCACCTCCACCTCCACCTCTACCTCTACCCAACACCAACATGCGTGCATGCACATACATACACTATTTTTCAGGGATAATTGTATTTTTTTAACAAAATAAAGATTACATGAATTTTTCATTTTTAACTTACACCACTTTTTATAATTTAAAATTAATTGTTGGAGTTAATTGCAAAATATTCAAACTTAAGAGAGGCTATTTGTCGAAATTGAAATCTAAAAAGGTAAACGACAAACTACCCAAAGTTGAAGGGAAATTTTATGATCAACCCATAATAATATGAAAATCTTTTGAGTTGCAATGTGTCATTTGTCCTATAAGAATTTAGTTTAACTTACGGGAAAAAAAAATTTAGATTAGTTCGAACAAAGGAAAGCGATAAGCGCAGTCCTGACACAAAACAAGACAAAGGCCACTTCGATTTTTCTGCCCATTTTCTCGAGAAAATTAGATTTTCCTACTTTATTGATAATTCATCGGCTGTTCTTCATCAAAACACTTTGAAATCTTCGTTTTATTTACTTCAAAAGTAAATTTCTGGGTTTCCCTGACTTCCCCTCTCTCTGTCGTTGTATTGCATGTTAGGTGTTCGTTGAATTGTGTCAATGGCTTTTTCTTCTTGCCTAAATTGTCAACCTTGGACACACCCACATAGTCTAAATCACCCAGTCCCTCTTTCCGTCCCTCTAAGAGTTACCAAATCCATTTCTTTCACATTCGCACCATTCTATGGAAAACTGGCCTCAGTTTCTGCCTCCAGTTCATCTTCACTCTCTACCCTTCCACTGTCTCCGTCTCACCAACAACTCTCACCAGACTTCACCCCAGTGGAACTTCTCGACACCCTTCGTCGTGAAAACGATGAAACATCGGCTCTTTGCCTCTTTGAATGGGCTTCAAAGCAGCTTAATTTCACACCTACTTTGCCTGTATACGAGGAAATTCTTAGAAAGCTCGGACAAGTGGGGTCTTTCAATTCAATGAGGCATATTTTGGAGGACATGAAGCGGACCCGGTGTGGGGTGAAGGAAGGTACTTTCTTCATTTTTGTTGAAAGTTATGCGAAATTTGATATGTATGATGACGCTATTGGTGTTCTTGATATGATGGAACAAGAGTTTGGGTTGAAACCGGGCACGTTTAGTTATAATATTTTGTTGAATGTTCTTGTTGATGGAAACAAGTTGAAACTAGTTGAGAATGTGCATTCCATTATGATGAGTAGAGGTGTGAAACCGGATGTTTCAACTTTTAACATTTTGATAAAGGCTCTTCGTAAAGCTCATCAGATAAGACCTGCCATTTTGATGATGGAAGAGATGCCTAGCCGTGGTTTGGTGCCAGATGAGAAGACATTCACGACAATAATGCAGGGTTATATCGAGGAAGGAAATTTGGATGGTGCATTAAGAATTAGAGAAGAAATGATAGGTGCTCAATGCCCGTCAAGCAGTATAACTGTTAATGTTTTGATTCATGGGTTCTGCAAAGAGGGTAGAGTTGAGGAAGCTTTAAATTTTGTGGAAGATATGACCAGAGAGGGGTTTCACCCTGACCAGTTTACATTCAACACCTTGATTAATGGTTTGTGCAAAGCAGGACATGTAAAGCATGCTCTAGAGATCTTGGACTTTATGCTTCAAGAGGGATTTGATCCTGATGTTTTTACATATAACACATTGATCTCTGGACTGTGTAAATCGGGTGAAGTTGAAGAGGCAATGGAAGTTTTCAATCAAATGCTTTCACGAGATTGTTCTCCTAACACAGTCACTTATAACACTTTAATTAGCACCTTGTGTAAGGGAAACCGACTGCAAGAAGCCACTGAAATTGCCCGTGTTCTTACAAGCAAGGGAATTTTACCTGATGTCTGTACATTTAACTCTCTGATACAAGGCCTCTGCTTAACTAGTAACTATAACATTGCAATGGAATTGTTGAAGGAGATGAAGACTAAAGGTTGCCAACCCGATGAATTTACTTACAACATGTTAATTGACTGCTTTTGTACTAAAGGGAAACTAGAGAAGGCATTGAGCCTACTCAGAGAAATGGAGTCAAGTGGCTGTTCAAGAAGTGTAATAACTTATAATACTCTGATCGATGGATTCTGCAAGAACAAGAAAATTGAAGAAGCAGAGGAGTTATTTGATCAGATGGAACTCCAAGGAGTTTCTAGAAATTTAGTGACATATAACACACTTATTGATGGTCTTTGCAAGAGCAGGAGGGTAGAGGAGGCTGCTCAGCTAATGGACCAGATGATAATGGAAGGCTTGAAACCTGATAAGTTCACCTACAATTCCTTCTCACACACTTTTGCAGAGCAGGAGACATAAAAAAGGCAGCAGATATTGTCCAAACCATGACTTCGAACGGATGTGAGCCAGATGTTGTCACCTATGGGACCCTGATTCAGGGACTGTGTAAAGCTGGTAGAATCGAGGTTGCAATCAGGCTTCTTAGAACCATCCAGACGAAAGGGATGCTTCTGGCACCACAGGCCTATAATCCTGTCATTCAAGCACTCTTCAAGCGGAAGAGAACAAAAGAAGCCATGAGACTCTTTAGAGAAATGGAGCAGAAGGGTGATACTCCTGATGCTATCTCATATATATGTTGTTTTCCGAGGTCTTTGTTCTGGTGGTGGACCTATTGCAGAGGCTGTTGATTTTGCTGTTGAGATGACTGAGAAAGGATT